CTTTCCCTGCTTTCCTTTCCTTCCTTTTTCCTTCTTAGTAACTTTTGGCTTCAACAACAGTATTTTATGAGTATCACCTGCTCCAGAGTTTGTTGGACAGTCTTGATCTACACACTTGTGTCCCAAATGCCTACTATCTACCATTGGAATTGTGTATTATTTTACAAATTGTTATATTTTGTTGTGATTTAGCATGCTTAGCCAAACATCACGGTTGAACCAATTATCCTGCCAAATAGAAATGAACTCTTGACTGTTCTGGCTGAGTTTTAGAATGAATTTGTTGGCCTGATCTTCTGAAGATGTTGTCTACATTAACCTAGTGCTCCTGATTGTCTGAAACTGCCACCAACTGCAGTAGTTAAGCCTGATGGTGCTAGTGTATATCAGGTAACTGGCACTCGATTGCTAAGTGATCTAGAATATATTTGTAAATTAGACTGGTCAAAATTATCAGTAACTACAGGAACAGCGCTTATATCACTAATTATTGATACCACAAGTGAAAATATTACCATGGAAATATCAGGGGCAAGAAATACCAGCTCATGAACAGGCTTTAAAGGAAGGTGTATCATACCTGAAGAGCTGACTGAAATATTTTTCTAGCTTACCGTTATTTTTTCAAGTGCCTCTTAGTTTGAAACAGTCATCTTTAAACAAATTAAGACAACTCTTTTAAGACACAGTTAAATCAATCTTACCTGAAATACAAACATGTGTCTGCCCGCAGGAACAGGTCCTACCAAAACAGAGTCTAACACCTGATCATACTCTTCACTTTCAGCTGAACCCACATAAATTATTTTCCATTCCAAATCTATAGCAAAACAAAAAAAAAAATCAAAAAAACCAAACATTATTTATCATTACAGTTAAGGGTCTTCCACTCTTGCCTATCTACAGTTTTGCAAAGGCTAAAATTGCTTCTTTTGCAACAGGCCTAAAGGAATAAGGACCTGTCTTTACTGGGGAAATTTACTGATGCCTGTCCCAGTCCTCAAGAACCAGACCACCCATCCTACCGCCTCTCTCCAGTCCACCGGTACCACAGGAATCCCTCTATTTTCATAGGTTAATTTTCAAATTTTATACAGAGGACAGAGCCCATTTACTTGTTGGGAGCTGTGTTCAGCATTTTCTCAAAGCCTGTCGGAATGGCAGCAGCACAGGGCTGATGCCTGTACACAGGGCATGCCTTGAATACTGACTCACCTCCCAGAAAGAAATTCCCACCTTCCACATGTACACCTCACCGCTGAAATTACACAGATCACAGAAGGTAGTTAATTGGATAAGAAAACCCATTCTGTAAGCACCAGGCACACTAACTGTATGCCCCCATTCCTTCAGATGTCACTTGTGTAACCCGAGAAGTTTGTAAAATGGTGATGGCGTGATTAGATCGTATTCTCATCAAAGATATTGGTGCTTGGATTTTATCTACATCCTAAAATATAATTACAGGCGAAAAAATGTAAACGTAGCATTTTCCTTCTTAAAATAATGCACCAAGATCAAGCATTTCTTACAATTTGTTCTTTTCTAACTCACCCTCTCCACCACAGGTGATTGACCGCAGGTGATTGAAAGTTGAAACTGCAAATTAGCACACATTAGCTCTTCCTGGGCCAGCTTTTCACTTTCACTTTTTGATTCAGAAACACATGCACAAACACACATATGGAACTAATCTTACAAGACAGATTTTGGGGGTTTTAGACAAGAGGAGAAAAAAAAAAAATCACCATTATGGAAAACTACGACTTTTTTTTTTTAATGCCACTTTCACTTCAAAACTGTACCTTACAAACTTGCATAGTCTATTTCATATTTGTATTTTTTTCCCTTATGAACAATGCCCTGATTGTCTATGTAAAAGCACAAACCTGTACCCTATTACATTTACTCTATTACTATGCTCTGCAAAATCCAAAGGTCTACATTATAGTTTCTTGATGTGGGAATGGAATTTAAGCACAGAAAAAACTTAGCACTCCTGTAGCAAAACTTGGCTGCTTTAGGACTGCAACTCTCTTTCCTCATTAATGAGTTCTTCTTGCTTATCATGTTTAACATCAATGCAGGTTTTGGGGGTTTAAGTAACATAATTGACAGGACTTGGGAAGGGATTTTATTCCTCTGAACAGCACAATTGGCCAGGTACTGTATCAGAGGTTTTATTTACCTTTTAAGCATGCAGCACTAAGCTACTGCCAGTACTGCAGGGTACTCATCCAGGCCAATTAAGGACCTCTTTTGTCAGCATCTGTGTCATTTGTTACAATCAAGAAGTGAGGACTTTTAGGCTAAAGTACTTCAGATTATCACACTATCCTATGCCATTATACTAGGAGAACAGTATAAAGTTCATTCTAAACCCATCAGTATTTAGTACTAAAAAAAATGGACTTCTAAAAAATAAGTTTTAAATTATACATCTAACGGGTTGATCCAAATGCAGTTTAGGTATCTTGATATGGAATAACTTAAAAAAAAAAGGGGGGGGGAGCTGGAGTTCGTGAGTTTAATTTTAAGGTCAGTGGTGCACAGGACTGGCTGAAGAAAAAACAGCACAGAAAGTAGAGAGCACGTGAAAGCTAGGGCAACAGACAGCAAATTTTTCATCAACTATAGAAAGGCTACATTTAATTTTATTTTTGAATGTGAAAGACAGCAGTGCTCACCCTGAGTTTATTCTGTAGCCTAACTTGCGTTTAGTTGGGGGAAGGGAACTGAGAATTTTGCATGACACCATCTATAATTCTTCTCATCCCGATTGTCCGGGATTAACTCTAACGTAAATCCAGGGAGGGAGAGGCAGGTCACGTACAGCTGTGCACAACTGGAAGGAAAGGCGAAACGCCTTGTGCCGAGCCCTTACGACGGACGGGCACTGCCGCAGCAGTTGCCGTCGAGGGGTC